GTCTCCTTCGCTGGAGATATTCAAAACCCGTCTGGACGTGATCCTGGGCAGCGTGCTCTAGGTGACCCTGCTTGAGCAGGGAGGTTGGACTGGATGATCTCCAGAGGTCCCTTCCAACCTCAACCATTCTGTGTGATTCATGTTTTCTGAAGTCTCAGAAAGCTCTCCAAAGCCTAACAAAATTGAGAGTCATTATGCTTTGAATGCCTTTTTTTTCCTGCACAATAATCCAATAGAATGATTTTTATCATTCATTCTACATTTATGCTATTGAGGTTTATTGATTGATTCAATTTTGATAGAATTCTAACTCACTAAACACAATTTTACATGTGCAATTCAAATTATTTTGCTTTACTAGCTCCTGCTTTTCTACTTTAAGAAGCTTGTATTTTGAAGATGCTCCAGGATCTCCAACCAAAGGAGGTATTACATGAAAGAACTGCTCACTACCTGAGGAATTACAACTATAGGAACAGAAAGGATGGTGAACTGTGAAACAGTCTAGCTGACACAGGTTTGTTTGTTGAAATATATACTATTTTACTTACATGATGGTAATACAATAGTTGCAAATTGGTAGAATTTGGATTTTTGTGTAAAATTCATTCAGAAGCATAGTAATGATAGTGAATACATTCATCCGATAATTCTGGTCATGAGATCTGTTCTATCAAAAAGCAGCACACTCCAAGTATGTGGTCCAGTCTGGCAGCTACACCTGAGCTCTGGACCTGCTTTGCACAGGGAGGGCACAGTGTAAAATTGGGGCCATACCTACTTCTTTATTGTTTTCAGTCCTAATTCTAATACACATGCTATAAAGGCAACAGTAGGCCTGACGGGGCTTTGCAGGGGCCCCCACCCCACATACTGTTCCCATGGGCCCCAGGGCTCCATCAAAGGTCAGGCCTGGTCCTAGTGCCCAGCTGAGCTGCACCATGGGTGGGCCTGTGGCCAGCCCTGTTCCTACTGTCCCTGACTTCCTTGCCTGATCTTGGGTCTGGCTCATTGCCTCGTATTTGCCTAAAGGTCACAGGACTGTTGGTGGGAACCACTACTGCAAGAGCCCCGTTCACCTTCCTTACGTGTGATGGGCCTGTGACCAGCCCTGCCTGTGCTGTGGTCACCTTCTATCCCAGCCTGTTTTCCCTCATGGAGCAGCCCCTCTTTTGCTGGAACTCTCGATACCCTTTGATTCAATTGCTGTGAAACAGCTGGTGTGCTTAACATTGAAACCTTACCGTATGTTCACGACCATCACATGATCATTTACAAGCTACCTTAAGGCCCAAGTTCTGTGCACCAGTCATGCTGGCAGGTGTACACTTAATCTGTTTTCAAAGACATAGCTGTGAAACTTGTGTGTGCCAACAGGTGCTCCTGCATAATTTTCTCTGTATTTCATGATGCTTTTCACTATTTGAAAACTTGTTTTTCTTAGGTATAGCTTTCTCCCATGCAGGCTTCATCTATGGCTCTGTTGCTCTTGGTCTCAGAGAGAATTCAGTGATTGCTTTTAGCTCTTATGTAACAATTGCAGGGCTGCATTAGATCAGGAATCAGAATTTCCTCTTTGCTCTCATCCCTTCTTATAAATCAATAAGCATTCTTGCTCTGTTGTGTGATTTCTCTTAAGTGCTTTCTTTATTTTACAGTTGTGGTTTACTGCTGAGCTTGTTGCATTGCACAAACTGAAACGGCATGCTAATGTGATTTTGGATTATAAGAATATCTGCAGTGTGTATTTAGCTGTGATTGACTTTTGCCAACATAAACTGCTGCAGACAGTGCAAGGTGGCGCGCACAAGCCTTTCCCAGCTAGGAGCCAGATTTGTCCCACAGTTCTAGTCTGGAGTGTGTCATGAATCTATTGGTTAAACACTGGAATGTTGCAGAATAAAGCAGCGCAGTGGCAGTCATCCAAATTAAATGGGATGTGCTATTTATGCGAGTGCTGACAATGGGGATTCTTCTGTATCCTTCTAGTATGTTTGAAAAAACCTGGGATCCTTCAGCCTCTTAGAAACCTAAGTATAATATTGGCCAATGTCAAGCTGTGGGTGCACGTTTTAATCGGTGCGTGTGTCTGCATCCAAACACATCCACTTCGTATACGTTTGAATGACAGATTTCACAGAAGGCTGTTGAGGATCTGCAGTTAAAGACTGTGCGTTCATAGTAAGCAAATTTCCTAGGCTCAGATTTGCAACTGGTTTTATTTGCCTCTCTGTCTATAACTGGTTTTAATTGAGTTCTTTGTGGTCAATATATCAGAATTAACTTTCCTGACTTCTCGTGTGCTAGTGTTTATCATGTAGCTCCCAGGCCCATTAGCAGTGCAGTAAGTACATTATTAGAAGATAAAACCTATGGAGGTGATAAAATGACAGGATGTTCTGCTTCTGGCTCTGGGTGTTGAGCGTGGAAAACAGATTGTATGTTCTAGTTCTTCAGGTTGGCAGCCACCTGAGCTTGTCCTTCACTGGATGCTCTCAGGCTCCAGGGAGAATGCAGATAAACGGCACTTAGAAGTTGCACACTCTGAAGCTAATTTATGGAGCGATGGAGCCTGTTAGTTTTTTTCATTGTTTGATAAGTTGAAATATCTTCTTGCAAGCTGTTGAAATTCTTCATTTACAAGAATACCATGTTGGAAAGTTTTCGTTCCTTTCGAGGAGTCTTTGCAGTTAATTTTAGTTCACTGTGTTATGCCATTAGCAAATACAGAGGGCAGAGGTCTGTGTCTTTTTTTTTTTTTTTTACATTTTTTTGGTAGCAAAAACATTTCTCATACACTTAAATGTATTTTTTTGTACATTGGTTGTGGAGATCTTGACAAATCTTTGCTCTTCTGACTGATTAGAATTGAAGACGGAAGATGCTTGGGTGAAATTTAGTGCGAGTGTGAATAGTTCTTATACTGTTTACTCTAAGGAGAATGGATAGGACAAAATTACTACGTTGCTGGAGTCAGAAGGACCAAGCAGGCTTGATGCCCAGCCCATTTCTATTGCTTAGATAATAAAACATTTCTATTTTAATGTGACGGAAGAATTAAAGGTTGGCTTTTCGAAAGGAAAAAGTCTTTGTGCCAAAACAAAAGCACAGTTTTATGCACCATCTTATATGAATCTGCAGCAGTTGCGTACAGAGAGTGGATAAACAAATATGCAAATCTAGACTTGCGTATTAATTAGTAATCTGTACCTCTGGGAACATACCCTTTATTTGACTGGTTCTGTGCAAAGTCCTGTATGTGCACCAGAGGAACTCTTTGAAAACTGTATTAGAACAGTGACAAGCAGTTGTTTTTGTCCTTGGTGATGTGTGTGTGAGATGGGCATGTAGATGCTAGAGACACAATTACTTAACAAACATCTGTGCTGACTCTCCTGTATAGGTTGAAGGATTATTATTGTAAGCGTCAAGATACTTGGTAAGTTGATTGTGCTAGTGAGTAGGCCACAAAGGAGGAAGGCAGAATCCCTAGTTTTCCTAGTGTAACTGTATAGCTGTAATACCATTGCTGTACAGTTCAGCAGCTTTAATTGCCATTGCTAGTAATAGTTCTTAAGCTTTTTCCCAAGTTTGCAAGGCCTCAGGACTGAGACTTGTCAGGCTGCTCTCGGTCTAAGCTTTTCTTGATCTGCCTGCAGCTTTGTTTAGCTTGGTTTAGCTGTGACAGTAATTCCTCTAATTGACCAGGTGCTTACGGGTAATTTGTTTTACTTTTGTTTACCCTTGTATGGTCCCACTATGGTTTTATGACTCTTAACAGAATGAAGGAGTACAGAGGAATACAGCTTACCGTAGCAGCTGAGGCCTTGAGAAGCGACGACACAGAGCGTGGCATAGAGAACAGGCGTGGGATAATAAGAGATGGGGCACAGGCTTGCCACTGGAGACCCCATGGCTATAAACAGCTCACCAGTCATAAAAGGAATGTATATCTAGAGCTGGACCAAACTGGTTTTAGGGGCAACAAAGAAATAGTGTCTAATGTGTGTAAAAGGCACTATATATAGTAAATTCAGATGTAACATGGAGCTACAGACAATGAAGAAAGAGCAAGATGTAA